TATTTGTGGTGTTTTTTTATGAAATAAAAAGAAAAAAAAAAAGATACTGAGTGTTAATTTTTTCAAGTGGTGGGGGAGCCAGGTTGAAGAAGGGGAGAAGAAGAAAAGAAATGGATGAGTCTTTCTATAGCAACTGTTTAACGTCTGGTACTAATTCATCCACTGTTAATTTTGTTAGTGTTGCAGCTGTCAGATGTTTTGCGAGGACAGATTGTGAGCATAGCTACGGGGCCCTTCTGTTGGTTTTCCACTATGCTGAATATCAGGACTGCAGACTTCTGACTTATCTGGAGACTTAGTGACTAATGCAACACTGATGTATTAAGGGGACATAAATATTATTTCCTTTATTTGTTATGATTGAATAATTTTATCGGTGGAAGAAAGCTTAGATTTGCATAGCAAGTAAATGTTACAGCATATAAGTGATGAGTCCAGAAGTAGCTACAGAATTTAGCTGCTTCAAATGTCCACCGAATAATTATTTATAGGGGTATTATATTGCTACATTAACATGGAGGAAAAAATACTTGCCTAACAAAGATTTTGTTGGTGGTCACAAAATATACATAGGTCTTCCCTCTCCGAGGAGTATTCATCCTTCCTTCTCAGGTGCAGAAAGTAGAACTCAAGGCAGAGGTGGGACTGACAGAACGGGGGTCATGCACAGTTAGGACTATTGATTAGTTTTGGAGGGAAACCTAAAAAATGCTTGGAGCATTCTGCATTTATCACTTCTGAGAGCAAACGCTGAGGGAAACTGAGGCAAGGTTGTACAAGATTGAAGGGGGCGGGAAACAGGATTTTTATCATTAATTAGGAGGGGTTTTGAGCCTTTTCTTAAAATAATATTGCTGTAGAGAAAAATATCTTTTTAGAAAAGATTTCCAAATTGCTTATTTTTGCCATTTGACTTTTACCATTTAAAGACGATCGCAGCAGAACACACGGTTGATGTTTCCTTGACCAATTGTGAGGAATTATTTTGGGTCCCTGTCGTGCCTCCACGTGCCTTGCTGATGGTGCTGTGTCATGTTCAGGAGCTCTCTGACAGAAGAGAATGAATCTTCCTCTCAATGCAGCAGCAGTTGAGAGATTGCACATGTTTATTTCAGTTAACTTTGTCAGAGTTTCCTTAATTTTAGGAATAAGTTAACAAAGCTGGATGGATGAGGTTTATGAGTGCAAAGTAGATTAATTCTATATATGTGGTGCATGTTGGCAGGAGTCATCTGCACTAGTTCCTGAGTTTTGTGTTCACTTCTTCCACCCTGAAGGAAAAGCTGTGCAGCATTTTGGACAACACAGGTATTTGTAATGTGTGTGGTATTGGTGAGCTGTGTAAGCAATGCTTGTAGGTACAATGAAAAACCCAGCCAGTAATTTCATTAGGTACATTGGAGATGTATCCTTAGTAGCAATGTTCAGGTTAACCAGAATAGAGCGTTACAAGATAAAGCCAGTTTGGAGCGTTAGGGAGAGGTAACAAAAATAGGAAGCCTTCACATCAAGAGGGACTTGAATATTGGGAGTTTAGGCAGGAGAGGACATGA